ACTGACCGAACATGGGTAAAGTAAGCTCAAAGATATTTCTCATCCTCCCTCAATCCACCTTGGGATCCTACTGTAGTACTTATGGTTTTTGTTTTCAGATGCTTTGACATTTTAGGAGCTCATATGGGAGAGACTGCCTTCTCCCAGTGCAGACTTAATCGGACACTGAACAACTTGCCTGGGAGTGTGCTCTTTTATATGCAATGGATCATTCAAACCCTCATCCCTGGCCCCTCTCCATCTAAAGCTCACATGCCAAGATATACCACACCCAAAGCAGCCCTGCTCCAATCACTCAAGGGCCAGGTGAGCCGGGGCAGCCAGGATTCAGTCCTGCCTGCAGCCCAGAGCCTATTGAACAACTGCCCAATCCTGACCCCCCTCAGATGTGCCTGCTCTGCTCACCTGTTCCTGCTGGGGAGACCACCACATCCAGGTTTGGGAACTACATGCTTTTCCTTTGTTTTCTGCCTCTAACTGACCTGCTACCTCCCCTAGGAGGCTCCTGCATGGTGGCATGGCATATGCAGCTCCCCTTCTCGCGGAGTCAGAGACTCACAGATCCTTCAGTAGCGAACGTCTGTCACCTTACCGCTTCATTAGATCGGGAGTGTAATAATAGGGAAGGCACTGCCTTTGGCGAACATTGTCTCCTGAGGTATAAAAAAAACGAGGGCAGGGGGATGCCAACAAAGAGACAATTGAAATATTTGGGTCTTTAAGTTTTCTTTTAAATTGGAAATTTAAATCCATTGTAAGGCTTTTCTGAATTTTGTCTGTCTTATAGCCTAGGGCTGTTGAGGTGTTTTAAAAATCAGGAATTGATGGATGTCACTGGGATACAGATATATATTATTACTTATTTAAGAGAGGAAAATAAGGGGGGCACCTGGGTGGCTCATGGGTTATGCCAACTTCTGCTCAGGTCATGATCTCATCTAGTTTGAGCCCCGCCTGCCGGGCGCTGCCAGGTTATTGCAGAGCCTGGAGCCTGGAGCCTGTTTCAGATTCTAGGCCTCCCCTCCCTTTCGGACATCTCTCCCTAATTATGCTCTGTCTCTCTGTCTCAAAAATAATAACGTTAAAAAAATTTTTTTTTTTTTAAATAAAATTTTTTTAAAATATGGTCTGGGTGCCTAGGAAACTTAGTCGGGTTATGTCCGGCTCTTGGTTTCGCTCAGATCATGATCCAATGCCAGGGTTCGTCTGGCTCAGGCTCGACGGCATGGAGTCTGCTTGGGGTTTGCCTCCCTTTTCTCTGCCCCTCCCTGTTTGTTTTCTCTCAAAAAATAAATGATAACATTAAAAAATTTTTTTAATTTTAAATGGAAAATATAATACATATACACTAAATTAAAAAGAGTCTGAGTTGGTCGTATGGTTTGACAAGGATCAGCTTCTTGGTTAATTGTATCATACAGTGGATATTTTTATAAATGAAACAAGCTAAATCTGTGGCTTTAAGGTTTTGATGAAAATATCTTGAAGGCATGTGATAAGATAAAATTATTTTATTAAAAAAAAAAAAAAAAAAAAACTAACGTTGAAAAATGGCTACTGGCAGTGATATATTGAAAGTAATGTAAGATATTTGGGGCGCCCTTGGGTGGTTTCATAAAGGCTGGTTGAACAAATGACTTCGCTCAGGTCATGATCTCAAGAGTCCTGGGTCTGAGCCCCACGCTTCTGTGTTGACACTCAGAGCCTGATTTCCGTTCCAGAGTCTGTGTCTCCCTCTCTGGCTTCCCTGCCCCCCGTTCATGCTCTGTCTCCCTCTGTCTCAAAAATAAAAAAATAAAAAAAAAAAAGAAAGTAATGATATTTTGATTATTCCACCTTTTTCTTTTGGGTTAGATAAGGTTCCTTTAAGAAAAAGAATAACCCCTGTAAGAGTAACCCATATAATTATTAATAAAAACTTAAGCCTTTTTTGGTATCCTCAGAAAACAAGACATGGAATATTTCTAACAACTAGGTAACAAATTTGGCAAGTTGGTTGGTTTATAGTTCTTTGCTTCCAATAAAGTTGAAAGACTACCTAATTTGACTGTCAGCTGATTAAGATAAATTTTGCTAACAGCTTACTATGTGATTTTGGCATATAATTTGTAAGGAGTTCAAAGAATTGAGTGACATTGCTACAATAAAATTCTTCTGTTCCCAGATACTATTTGTGTGAATAAGGTTTTTGAGCTCTTAAAATCTAATATTAGAAAGGGAAGGGAGGGTTGATGTTGAGCCATGTTTGATTCTAGTAATAAATAATACAAATATTTCAACACCAAAAAAACCAATTTTAAAAACTCGTTAGGAGATACATTTTAATAAAATACCCTTTTTAAGCTTAATAATTACTTATAAAATGTATATTTATGAGCTGTCAGCACAGAGTCCGACATGGGACTCAAACCCATGGACCGCGAGATCATGACCTGAGCTGAAGTTGGATGCTCAACCGCTGAACCACCCAGGCGCCCTATATTTATATATCTCAATCAATTTTATTAATAAGAATTATAATAAAAAATCAATCCAGGAGAATTTTTTTATGTTTATTTCGAGAGAGAGAGTATATGCTAAGAGGGGAGGGGAAGAGAGAGAGAGGGAAAGAGAGAAAGAATCCCAAGCAGGCTCCATGCTGCCAGAGCAGAGCTGGACTCTGGGCTCGAACTCACCAACTGTGAGATCATGACCTGAGCTGAAATCAAGAGTCAGATGTTTAACGTACTGAGCCACCCAGGTGCTCCAATCCAGGAGAATTTTTAAAAATTCTTAGAGACTCAGGATCACAGGAAAATTTTTAAATTTTAAGTACAGTTACTTATAATTTTTTGTTGCAGAAAAGTATTCAAAGGTGATCAGTAAAATGCGGTAAAGCATAACAATATGCATTAGCACACAATTCTCTAGGGAATATGGAAGGGAAGTATGAGATGAAGGAGAAAAAGAAATGAGGAAAAATTTGTAAGTGGTAAATAAAAGTTTCATTTCAAAATGTCAGCACTGGGAATTATATAATTTACAAATATTTAAACTTGTGATAAAAAAAAAAATGTTGACTTTAAAATGGAATAGAGGAGAGCCCCTAGGTGGGTCAGTCAGTTAAGCATCTGACTCTTGATTTTGGCTCAGGTCATGATGTTAAAGATGATGGAATCAATCCCCACCTGCCCCCCCAGCTCCGCCCCCCCCAGTCCCCCCCCCAGTCCCCCCACCCCCCCCCAGCACAGAGCCTGCTTGGGATTCTCTCTCTGCCCCTCCCCTGCTCACATTCTCTCTCTCTCTCTCTCTCTCTCTCTCTCTCTCTCTCTCTCTCTCTCTCTCTCTCTCTCTTTCTCTCTCTCTCAAAATAAATAAGCTTTTAAGTTTAAAATGGAGTAGAAGGAAACATACATAATATTCAACTGAACAAAAGCTACTTCAAGACTATTGTTGGCATACTACTTATCTCCGGGGCATGTACTCATGGAGAGAATAGCACTTTTAATAATGATAGAGCTCTTTTAAATTCTCTCCTTTTTGCCACGTGTGGCTTGGAGTCTAACTTGAGTAAAGGCACACTTCAGGTGAGCTCATAGTACTGCGAAATAGACACACCGATGTCTTTCCCCGTGGTTAGCTACATAGAGCACGGGGTAAAAGCATCGTTGTAATGCACGGGCAAACAGGAGTAGAATTTGTGTATGGCTACCTGCTCAAAGCCAGATGCATCTCAAGGGTATGGGGCAAGAAGTGAGTGATTATGGATGTGGACAGTGGTATAAACGCAACCTCCAGAAGTGCTCTCTGGAAACACGTGTGTTCTCATACCAGGAATGCAAGGGTAGGGCCGGGAGGGGGAGGCAAACCGCCCTTGCTGGGCCTGTACGGGGTCAGCCTCCCGTCTCACGCTTGTGTCTCTCTCTCCCTCCCCGCCCCTGCAGTCACTGCTCAGCATCCCGGGCTCGCCGTTCCTCTCCCGCCACAACAGCAAAAGCAGCATCTTCAGCTTCCGAGGGCCCGGGCGGTTCCGCGACCCGGGCTCGGAGAACGAGTTCGCGGACGACGAGCACAGCACGGTGGAGGAGAGCGAGGGCCGCCGGGACTCACTCTTCATCCCGATCCGGGCCCGCGAGCGCCGCAGCAGCTACAGCGGCTACAGCGGCTACAGCCAGGGCAGCCGCTCGTCGCGCATCTTCCCCAGCCTGCGGCGCAGCGTCAAGCGCAACAGCACTGTCGACTGCAACGGCGTGGTGTCCCTCATCGGCGGCCCCGGCTCCCACATCGGCGGGCGGCTCCTGCCAGAGGTGAAAATAGATAAGGCAGCTACCGATGACAGTGTAAGGAAGTAAACACATAGACCGAGGCTAGGCATGGCAGTCTTTCCCGCGCCCTCCTCTCCTCTCCGGTCCGGCCGCTCGCTCCCACGCGCTGTCCCCACTCTCTCGACTCCTGTCCCCACTGCCCCCCACCGTTTCTGTCTTCTGCCACCTGCTTTGTTTCTGTTGTTCTCTTCCGCCCCTCCTTCTCCCTTTTACTTTATTCCCTGCTCTGTTTCCCCCCACCCATCCCCTCCCTCCTTGTTTCGGACTACTGCCCTTCCCCATCCCCTCTTGGCTTTACTTTACCTCTTTCTCTTTCTCTCCATCTTTGCAAGTCTCTGTCGGCCTACCTGTATTCCTTCCCCCGCCCCCACTCCCCACCCCCCCACCCCCACCTGCTTTGACTGAATGCCTCTGGCCAGCGGATCCTGCCCAGATGGAATGAGAATGGCATCCTGCCACCACCAATGACCAAGTCTGAGCCGGTTTGGAACTACCATCGCTTTTCTCCCTCCCATGTCCTCTCCTTATAGGGAAACAGCCTGGAATTTAAAGCTTTTATCTTTCTATTAAAAAAACAAAACAAAACAAAACAGCAATATAGTTCAGAATAATTTTCCAAGTCTCCTCTGTAAGAATGAGGTGTGATTTTTCCAAAGAGGAATGTGCATACATGATGCTGTCGGCAGGAGGTTCGCACCGGGGAGAACCAGGCAAGGAGAGGTTAGGGAAGCCAGTGCAGAACTGGAGCTAGACATTCAAAAGCATTTGAAATGGAAAGAAATCAAAGGAGGGGGAAAGTGGGAGGTTGGGGCAAGAACACATGGTGCATGGGGGAGGAAGAAAAAGGGAAGCAAAAGATGAATTTTAAATGTAATCAAATGTCAGGCTCTGGAGGAGCTGCATATAATAGCTTCAGAAAATCACTTGTCGAGGGGTTTGGATAATGGCTCCCCTCTTTGGGAAAAGCCATCTCCTAACATTCCTTTAAATTCTAAGCTGTTTATACCTTCTTTCTAGTTTTAAATTCTTATAGCCTCAGCGATCCCAATCCTCTGTACCTCTAACTCCTTAACCTCCCTCAGTCCTTCCTTAGCTGGCATAGACTCCTTGAGATGGCATGCCAGTCCGTCTTGTCCTAACACTTCAGTTTCCTCTAACACAGCACGGAGACAGCCGGTCCTTTAATTAGCATGATGCATGTGTGGAGGAAAAGTGGACAAAGTGGAATTATCCACAGTGATCTGTTTTTAACGTCTCTGGATGCCTGTTGACCGTACAGATAAAAATTCAAAAAGCAGCTAGGATGTGTTTGACACTGTCTTTTCTCTCCTGCCTTTTCATTTCATAGTAAAATAACTGCCCGTGCTACACACACACACACACACACACACACACACACGTTTGTATAGCTCTTTAGAAGTGACAAATTACTTGTACATTCATTATTTAATTTGCTCTGAATAAAAATTCTATAAGGCTGGCAAAGTGGAGCTCATTATCCCTGGTTTTAGACGGGGGGTAGTTTCAGAGAATTTGGGCTCCTGAAGGTCACGTAGCTCATTATTGATAGAGCCAGAGTCTTAGGGAAAACTCAATCTTCCATTTCTCAGTTCATTTTAGTGTCTTCTCTGTATAGCCACATGGCCATTTTTCTTCAAGAAAACTGTTTATTTAATATCAACTATGGTAGGAACAATAATAATAACAAACAGTGGTTCCAAAATTCCCCCAAAACCAGGTAGTTGGCCGAAATAAATATTATAGACGTGATTATCTTTCCTTTAAATGTAATTTTTGATTGTCCCTAATTCTATATCTAGAAGTAAATATTTACGGTCTGTTATTAGACAGTTACATTATCTGAAAAAAACAAGGTAATATGTCAACAGATAACAAGGGTTGTGTCAGCATGGACAGTACAGTTCTGGCAACTCAAATGTTAAAAACCAAATTTATTTCTGATATCCTGGCTTTTTTTTTTTTTTTTTTTTTTCATATTTAAGCCAAATCATACATCTTGCTTTTTCGTTGAAAAGAAGGTATAGAAAAGGTATCCAGGAAGGAGGAGATTGAACTTCAAGCTGAAGGCACATGAGCAGATTTGGGGGTTTTGTTTTTGGTTTTCTGGCAGCTTCTGTTAGACTGTGTGGGAAAAAAACTTGAGAGGCAGTTGAGCAGATGGCTGTGGAAGCAAGGCTCTGTGCACTGCCTTACGTTGTGGCCTCCACAGAGTGCTGCCTTTGGAGTTTTGGGGGGCCTGCACACTCCACCCCCTGTAGGCCCTTAGGAGATTCTTTGCTGTGGTCCCAAGCGATGATGGTGACAGATTTGAGGATTCCCAAGGCCAGGAGGGCAGATCTCAAAGAGGCAGGAAGATAAGATAGGCACAACTATTTCATTCCCAAAGGCTTCATAACCAGGAAAAGCTGTATTGTTAGAAGCCATAAAGAAGTGCTTCTCAGCTGTTGATGGCGTGGGGATATGTGTAAGTTATAATAATAGGCCAAAAAGACACAATAAAACAAACCCAGACTGCATAGACCGCGTGTGGTATGATATCAGATCTATAGAAAGACAAACTACACACAGAAAGAGGATGACTAATCAGAAGTTAACCGTAGTTGCCTTTAGGAGGGGAAATTATCGGTGGCTTTTTTTTTTCCTTACTCTTTTGTGTTCTTTACGGCTTTCTACAATGACATAATAATTATAGCTACCATATGGGTTCTTGCTATAGTATGCTAAGCACTTAAATATATGCACGATCTCATTTAATTCTTATAACCATCCTATTTGGTAGGTGGCTTTATCCTATTAAACAGATGAGGTTCAAAGCCTTAGTGACTCGTGGCAGTGGAGCTTGAACCAAGGTCTTCCTGATGCCAATGAGACCTTCCTGGCCACTTAAATATTAGCTCCTTTGGGAAGTGGGGAAAAAAAAAAAAAACATTTATCATTTATCTTAGAGGAATGCAATATATTACTAATGTTGTATGCAGCCCAGGCCACATGAGCAACAAATACCTCCTTAGGCTAAGATGTAGCAATTCTTACTGTCAAGGAGTAAAGATTCTGCAGTGACTGTCTGGTGATTGTGCGGATTTTTCATGAGAGGATTAATAAACTAAGATGTTTTATGTGGTGGCAGGGGGGGCGGGGGGAGAATCATGTTTGGGATGTGACTCTAGCCATGGATTGATTTGCCTGCGCCTGAACCACGAGAGTGCTTCCCAATGGGTGCTCATGCTTTGTGGAGCATTGCAGGAGCCGCTGAGGCCCAAAATTTCAATGGTTTGGGAGTTTTCACTTTTGCTTTCTGCTGAAGCAGAGGATGAGGGGACTTTTCCCATGCCTTCATCTCTAAGCTGGAAAAGTAGGTGAGAATCTCACCACTCAGAGAGAAAGCAGGTGCTGCTGATAATCCAAAAATCAGACGTACCTCAGAAACCCTGTTGTATTAGCTTGCAAATATATAAGTATTATCTCATTTAACGCCCACAGCTGATAGACACTACTGTTGTCTGCATTTCACTGAGGAGGTAACCAAGGCTTAGAGAAATAACGTGGCTTGTCCAAGATCACCCAGTAAGCGGCAGACAGAATTAGGGCTTGAGTGCAGGCAGTCTGGCTCCGGAGCACTGGCCAGTAACCAGTGCGCTGCACCAGCTCTAAAGCCTGAGTCCTTCAGTTTATTTACTGATGTGATCCTGGGAAATTAACATAACCTCTCTAAGCCCATTTCCTTATCTGTGAAAAAGAGATAAAAGGACCTTTGCTAAAGGGCAATCATAAAGATTAAATGCAATAACATTTATAAAATGTGAAGCATATTATTTGGTCCATTCTTGGTGTTCAGAAGCCAGTTTCCATTTCTTTCCCTCCACTCTTTTGGCCTTTTTAGTCCTGAGACGTGGACGTTAGGATTTCTACTGAATTGCTTGACTTGGAGAGGGTTGTATTCCTTCTAAGGAATACCTTAAAGATCCTTTGTCTGAGAAGAAGAAATTATTGTAGAACTATTTTTTTTTTTTAATTTTTTTTTTTTTTAACGTTTATTTATTTTCGGGACAGAGAGAGACAGAGCATGAACGGGGGAGGGGCAGAGAGAGAGGGAGACACAGAATCGGAAACAGGCTCCAGGCTCTGAGCCATCAGCCCAGAGCCCGACGCGGGGCTCGAACTCACAGACCGCGAGATCGTGACCTGGCTGAAGTCGGACGCTTAACCGACTGCGCCACCCAGGCGCCCCTGTAGAACTATTTTAAAGCAGATTACTACAGGGGTGCCTGGGTGGCTCAGTCGGTTAAGCTGATGGCGTGGGGCCTGCTTGGGATTCTCTCTCTCTCCCTCTCTCTGTCCTTCCCCTGCTCGCGCACTTGCTCTTTCTCTCAAAATAAACAAACGTTAAAAAAATAAAGCGCTCTAAATTTTAGTTCCAAGAAAAAGGTAACTACCTGATAAATTTCCATTCATGTATTTCCATGGGAAGGCGATTTGGTTGTGCTTCCTTGGGCAGATCGTAGAAATGTGGGCAAAATCTGCCATCTGCAGGTGTTACAGGATATCTCTTTGAGAAGTACAGCTACAGTTGAGGAGGCTGGAAGTCAGTGGCTAACTGTCGTAATAAACGTTGCATTTGGGTTGAGAGAAATGGAACAAATTTGCACTGAGTTTCACTTTCAAAGAATGTAATTGAGGCTCTCTGTTGCTTCCTCTGTTACTGATAGTTTTACGTGAAACCTCCTTAGAGGCTGAGTTCTAAAAAGGCAGAAGCTCCTGACTTTAAAACGTTGTGAATTCTCCTCTTTTCCTCCCCAACAAAGTGAGACCAAACAAACAAAAGAAATAAACACCTCCACTTACAGGAATAAAAAATGACCTGAGGAGATAGAGAAGGGGAAGGAAAAAGTATGTGATCTCTCCTCTGGTCCTCGGGTCTCAGCATGGTTGAAGGAGGAAGCCCTCTCCCTACCTCCCAAGTGATGAGAACTGAGTAGCTAAGCCAAGAGCAGAGA